CCAAAAAATTGCCATACCTGCCCATCATTTCTCTGTCTTCCATTTTATTTCCATGCTATACAAAGACACCTGTCATAGCATTCTGTGTAAATTGCTACCTCTCCCAGGACCTGTATCTACAGCCAATCTTCTTTTACACTTAAAAAAAAAAAAAAAAGAAAAGAAAAAAAGGGGGGGAAAAAAACCAAAACCCAGAAACCAAATGACTACTGTAGACACTCTTAAGTTCCCTGTCAATCGTTTCATTATAGCAGCATCATCTGTTTGAAAATATAAGCAATTCCCTCATCTAATTATAGGGAGGATTTGAGGTTCATTAACATTGCCAAGGCAGAGAATCAGATGTGCAACTGCAGAGCTGTGCTCAGTGGCCTGCATTCTCTGTTTCCTTTTATTTGCTTTTTCAAGGTCTCCAAGACTTTTTCCTGAAACCATAAAAGTAATTCTTTCCTTCAAAATAGACACGTGTGTTTAGAAAAGGGAAATGACTGCATTTTGTACTGTTCTATTATTGGGCAAGGTCACTGGAGAAAAATAATTTCACCTAAATCATTTTATCTCTGATTTGGGATGAAAAGAAAAGAATAGTATACAAGCAATTGTTACTTTTGAACAAAACATCACAGGAAGCCTTGTGTTTGTCTCATAATTTTAAATATTGCAAGGTAATGCAGCTCAAGAGGAAACCTAACATGCCAAGAAAACCTCTTAATTTTCAACACATTTTGTGGTTGTTTATGGATTAACATGCTAGCCAAGTGTAAAATGTTGCCTTGTATTTCCTAACTGTGTTTAGAAACTAAGAACACCAAAGTCTTCATGATTGCTTCATTTCCTTAAAGAAATAATAGCACTTTTTTTTTTTGTATGAATGTAGTTTAAACAATGACATTTTCTTGGGACATCTGTTTTGAGATCACATTTTGAATAGATATGAACTCATTTCCTACTAAGCAAGTAATTTACTATTGTTGATAGTTGTTTACAAGTTTTATGAGTCAGATTTTAGCAAGTGGCAAAGGTCTTTACAAATCATTTGAGTATTCCCTGAAGTGTATGCACAGTGTTTTCATTATATAAAAGGTTCGGGAAGCAAAAGTATATGGACTGTTCTTCACTTCCTACCAAGTTATAGATAGGAAAGCCCAGCTCACAGAAATAGCTGCAAATGTATTTATTTTCAAAGGCTTCTATCTTTTGTGCTGCAGGTTAATGAAGTATGATAGCAGGGCAGTAAGTACTTAAGCAGCAAGGAAACAATTGAGCTGCTTTACCAATGCATTGCTCTGGAGCATCAGATGGGAAACATACAACTGATCCTAATATCATCCTAAGATGTTAATGCAACAAAGAATAGAACCTCTCCAATGAAATCTGAAGTTTGACCTTGTCACTTGTTTGCTTTAATTCTGCAAATAATTGAAAAAACCACAACAACCCAACACACAGCATAACCTTTTTTGTTGTTGTTTGCTGCCCTACAAAATTCATTTTTTAAACGAAGCCCCAATAATTTATCTACCGTGCATGTTGTATGGAGAATTGCCACTAAAAAGAACCCTGGACATTTTTCCTTCTTATCTGCAATGTAGCTCATATCAGCCAAGCTGTCACAAGACAGTACTTGATATAAACAAGAGATTGCAAAGACATCTCAGTAATCAATATTAGGATGGCTACAGTATGGAAGCCCCAACCACTGCATATCATTTGTCTCAGCATCTATTTCTATGACCAAATGAAGCATTAATTCAAATCATAAATCTATGGTGATTTAAATCTGGGAATGAGCACCTGCCTGCTTTAATGATTTATTTTGTACATTTCAGTAAGCAGGAGATTTGTCCATATGAACTGACAGGTCACCTTCAGATGCCAGTAGCAGACTGTTTATCACCATGCAGACTAGCATCTCATCTTAGCAAGTAAATATTAAACTAAAAGAATCCAATTGATTGTGGATGGGGGAGAAAGGCGTTGCAGCCATATATTTTACTCAGTGTGCTAATACCTCACTCTGATTCCTCTGTAATTTCTTTTTTTTTTCTTTTTTTCCCCCCCCCTTCTAAAACGATAATTCTGGTGGGAGGATGCAAGCTCAAGGTTACCAGGAAAACTGAGGGATATAAAATAATTACTTATTAGTATCATTGGCTTCCTTTAACTCCCTTCACTCACTAACCTTTTGGCTATTGCTTCAAAGGACCAAGTTAATAAATTTGTGTAGTGCTTGGTATAATTATGCAACATTTGTCTGCTAAAATGACTTCTATAATTCACATTAAGCATTTGATTAAAACCAAAAAGCAAAACGATTCAGAAGTAAACCTGACAATTCAACACAAGAGCACTTATTTTATTTATCTGCTTTTACATAGGCATTGGAGCAGCCTAAGAACATGGTATGATCAATCCATGCACACCACAATGCCTGTTACATATGGGCTAAGATGTATCAGTTCAGGTTTTAGCCGGGTTGGATAGTTTGCTTGTTCCTTTTCAGTTTGGTCAAATAAATGACATAGTTTAAAATATAAGCCAAAAATCAGGTTATTTTCTTTTGTTTTATTCCTTCCTCCTGTCAACATTCAGTAATGTAGTATTTCATATTCTTGCCTAAGAAGCCATAATTTAAAACATTAATGGCATATGGACTTGATAATATTTATTTGAAAAGACATAAATAAGCATCTGAAAAAAAAGCAGGAGGAGAGAAAGAGCACACATCTACTACAAAGCAACAACTTTGAAATATGAGTTCTTGTCAAGATAATACACTATGCTAATTTTCAAAAATGTAACTAATAAATAAAGGCTTAACTCTTCATGAACCTAATAATACCCTGGCATTAGTGGCAGTAGGAATCACTTCTCTGATTCCATATGCATAGTCAACACTGGACACTAGATAAGACTCAGTATAAAGAAACAACTAAATGTAAAGTATTTTTGAGAAATCCTCCATATGAAGGGTACAGTTCAAGACAGGATGCACAGACAAGCAAACTGTACTTCCAGAAATATTTCTCATGAAATGGAGACAACTGGAATGCTATTCACTCTACTCAGAAGAGCCATTTTTTTCTGAACAAAATTAACTCAATTCTTCATTCAGTTAAATTGGGAAATTAACTGAAGCTAACAAGTAAGTTAAGGGGCTGAGAGGAAATTTTGACAATGACAATAAATAATCTTGCTTCGCTAACTTTGCCTTACTAAAATATCTAGAATGTATTTTCTTAAACAGGGAAACTGATTAGGCTATGTAAGAGCATATTAGTTATCTAAATTATGCCTCAAACAATGATTTCAAAATAGATTTTTTTCTTTTTTATTCAGAGGACGTTCAGATGTTCCCTCCACCCACTCTCCTACAAATACTCTCTGTGATTTAGATGTTGATTACCTGTTAGCTTTTCCATTTCCACGGATGCACGTGGTTTGTCACTAGAACTGCCAAGCAGAATAACAGTTCCATAAACCAACAGTTGTACATTTTATTTCACATAATGCATTCATTTAACTCTGAAAATCTAAACTAGCCTCTAGGTCTAGTACATGCTCTTTATCTTCCCAGTTTGCATTTACACTTTCACTCTTTCTCATCACTTCAATTTTCTCCCAGTATGCCAGGGGCCACCTGGTCCTTCCACTTCATTTGTACCTATCTCCTCCTCCCAGATTTCAAAGACACCTGCTCTCTACCCTGTCATCTTCTCTCCAAGAGGACAGTCTTTCCACTAATATACAAGTGACCACACATGTTGGTATCTGAGTACTAAAACTCAATTTAAGACTATTTTCTTCACCATCATAGAGGCATTTTTCAAGCCTTTCTTTAAAAGGAAAACAAAAACCATCATGTCATCTCCTTATGCAGCAATGCATACACATTGTTGCTATTTACAACAGCATGAGCCTAGGTGAATTGGTCCTTTGAACTGCAATTCATATTATTTCTAAATAATACCCTACCAATGTCTACTGAACTGTACAGAAATGCTGTTCACAAACACATATTTATTTATGTTAAGGCTAGTACATAACCCTCTAAGATTCATTTTGAATGTATTTAGGAGATGAAAAACTCAAAAAAAAAAAAAGAAAAAATAAACCACGCAAAGGGCCAAAATAAAAAAAAAATAGCCTATCTGAAGCCATTTTATTCCAATATACACCAATCTTGCCTGCAGTCTCCTGAACGTACCTCTCTGTCATTGAATTTCTGTTGCTGAGTTAATACTGTCTCAACATGATAAAAGGAGCCAATACAATGAAATGGCATAACAAAACATTTTACAGCAGGCACACACAGATGATTAAAGATTTAATCAACAACAACAAAAAGTTATCCTAGCTTTGAAGTATGCTTTAGCAAAACAAATTGTCCAAACAAATGAATAAAGTATACTGAAACAATTCTTTTTTGAAAAAGAACAAGAGTTGCTGATGGCTGCTTAAGAAATGGAAAAACCTGTTAACTACATTTTAAGAATGTGTTTATTAAAATAAAATATGATAGGAACTGCAGAGCATGGCAATAATTTATTGTGTATGTATGTTTTCCTTTTGTCACAGGGCACATGAAAGTATGAAATATTTTGCTTTCAAGCTTGTGTTCTGAATTACCTAAAGTCGATACCCAGCACACTGAGCAGGAGACATTGTTAAATTTCACTTTGACACCATCATCTGTCACTCCACCTGTACCTTGAAAAATGAACTCTAAGCAATCAAACCACTTTCTTTCATGGAAAATATTAACTGGAGTCTGCAAAAGTAGCCTGCAAAGGAAAGAATGTTTTTGTAATAGTAACAATGCTGAACACTGGTGTAAAGGTCAGATACAAAATAAAAACTAAAAACATTAAGAAAGGAAAAACAAATATGCAACTTTTTGCATCAAATCAAGGACTTCAGAAGGAAGTTCAAAAATATCACCATTTTAATAACATATCCAAGTATTATGGACATATCATAAAGCTATGTCTGAAACTTACCGACACTTGAATTCAGATCTCCATTTTCAGAGTCTGCTCCATGCTGGTTATTGTTTGCATGATAGTTGGACATAGCTTCCAATTTAATTTTTTTCACTTTCATTGCTTCTGCTATGGCAGCATTGGTGGCAGCTGCTGCTGCTGCAGCTGCTGCTGTCAGACCTGCAAAGAAGTATGAACAAAATTCAATATACATTTTTCTATGATTCTCATTATTACAGGGACTAAGACTGTTATTCTTCCTTCATGCCTGTTCAATAAGGAACAGAGAACACTGCAGAATATTATTCCTCTTGTTGGATTTGAAAACTACCAACTTTTTCAAGTAAAATATTTCACATCATATTTAGATAGTTACTCCTATACATCCATCTAAACCTTGATATCCAACAGCTGCATTCATAATACAATCATAACTAGCTGCAGCTAAATATTTGTGCAGAAATCAGAGATCTAACTTAGCTTCAAAATGGTGTCCTGAGTGTCTGACTGTAAATAGGTGAACATGCATGTAACTGTACTTAGGAGCAAAAACACCTTTAGATCTCAAAGGTTTGACATGCTAAAGAAAACAAGAAAAAAACACAGGTCTATAATTTCTATTTATGAGTAACAGATGATAGAACTCTAGGCATTCCTCATTTCATACGTAACAGCAAGGAGCTGTAGTCATTTTAGGAAGCATTCGTAGAAGAAAGGTTAGTAATGAAGAACATTGGTAAAATACTTTCTTTTGCTTTCCCCAAAGTCAAAGGCATTAAGGCATTTATCAATAAAAAGAGGAATTATTAAACCCATTTAATCCCAATCCTAAAGCCACCTGTGGACAATCCAAGTGCTCTTCCTACCAAACTAAATATCTGCCATCCAGTCATTTACAAGAATGCTCTGCAAAACCAGGAAAATTTCTCTTTGTCAAGAACAATTAGAGAAATGGTCCAGTAATGCCTTCAAAACTCGAAAATACACGCAGCCTTTAATCAAAGTCACAAGCATAGGGTTTTGTCCTCTTCCCTGAGGCAGGGATAATTCTTCCATGGTCCCAAAAACCTGCTGCTGCCCACTCGGATCCCTTTGCCCCAGTCTGAGGAGCAGCAGAGAGAAGTCAGTGTCAAAACTTCACAAGCAATGCCTCCCCCACACAATTGATGCAAGGGGTGGAGATGGAAATGCAAGAGAATTAAATTTAAGAAATGAAAGAGAAGGCATTAAAGTGGGTAAGTTTAATGCAACGATGCAACCTCAGTCTGTGATGCCACAAGAGAACAGGCTCTCAGTCATTCTGAATCAAGATTCTTGTCCTGACCATGGAGAAGGCCTGAAAAACTCAGTGTAATTAGTTTAAAGGTGCCTGGTTGTCTGATTTTCAGCTACTCTGAGAGGTGTGAAGAGTCTTATGGGTCTCAAGAGGAATTAACTCCATAATTTACTATTCTAGTGGGCCAAGGCTGCTGTCCAGCATAGGAGGAGTGCAATTTAGCAGGAAAGACCAAATAAGCAAATAATCCCAGGCTGCTGAGGTAAATATTGCTACTACCATTGCTTCCCAAGGCCTCTTGTCTCCTTTGACTCCTTACATGGAAAATGAGTTCACTCTTGCCATGTTTTTGGCTAGTGATGGGGAGGGACAGAAGGCAAATCCCAGCGGGGAGAAGGCAGAAGGACATCGGGAAATCTATGAGGTGGCATAAGGGGTGCCTTTGAATATATATTAGCTTGACTCAAGGTTGTTTTCCCTTAATTCTTTGCATGACCACATAAAGATTAGCAAACAGTTCCAGCCTCCTGACCCTCCTCACAGGCTGTCTTTTCACACCTCCAGGTATAACAAGAATTATGAAGTAAGTGACAATTACAGATCAGAGTTATCTAGAAAACAGATGTTTCAGGTACAAGAAGATGTGCCAAAGGTCAAAAATCAAGTAAGAATGTGGATAAATAAGAGGATCTACTTTTATTTTAGCTTCTCCTAATATTACAACTTGTACATGTTCTGATCTAAGAAGGTATTGACAATAACATGGATTGTTTCCAATGGTATTTTTACCTTAGAGGAAGGATATGAAGCTATACGTTATACAAATTTGGTTACAGTCCCTAAATTTGGCCACAGAAAAAGGGATGGTGCACCACTGAACTTTGGTTTGCATCCTGTGTCCATTAAATAACACAATAACCTATACTTCCTTTTTTAATATATGCATACATCACTGACAAGCTAAAACTAGCATCTTTAAAGAACAATCCTTTGGAGGAATATACCAATGCATTATATCCAATGAATACAACAGCAGGCCTCAAACCTTTGGTTGTGACTCCACTTCTAGACCAGCAGTTTTAGGCACTTCCAAGTATTGGGGTAAATTACATATTAAACAGACACTGCATATAGGACTTGTAAGCCCACCTGTAATTACTATGTTTCCCTGGGATAATGACCCAGTTGCAGAACTGCTAAAACACAAACTCTTTTGCCAAAAAATTTGCAAAAGAAGCATTCTTTGGTGCTTCTCAACAAAGCAGGTCATAATGCTTCCCTTTGAGTATGGACTGGGAAACTAAAATGCAAATTGCTTAGTTCCGTAGTATGATTTTCACAAGATAATGCTTGTGGTAGTAAATGATAATTTAAAAAAGCAGAAATTAAACTACTAATTTCATGCCTTCTCTCATACAACTGCAGAAGTGATTGAAATGATTACTTTGCTATACAGCAATTATTTTAAACCATTGGAATCTGAAATGCATGTCTCGTATAAGCACCAGCATAAGAGGGGAAATAATCCTCAGAATTCTAGCTTAATGCTCTTCCTCACTGCAATTACAGCCTACAGCACAGTTTCTGCTTTACTGGTACTCTTTCCTGTCACTTGACTGTTATGATATAGCAAAGCAAGTGGCAAGCAAGGTCCCAAGCCAGTTATCAAAACCACTTCCTTTATAATCTCTGGTGCACTGTGCTGTACTGGGGTATGGTACATGACAAAACTTTAGCACATGGCCCAACTTATCTTTCTTATCTCACTAGCACTGGTAGCCCAACAGAAGAAGTCAATACTATTCTATATATCTATACGCACCTTTTAAAATACTAAAATTTAAAGTCTGATTATGGGTATATACCCAGGTAAATACTTGGGATCTTTTTTTAATTTATTGTTTGAAAAAGCCTTTTGACCTAAGCATTACTTAATATCACTTTACTCTTAGAATAAGTAGCCAAGGAGTTTCCAAGGTGCACACTTTTCTACACTGCAGAAATTTTATCTTTGAAAATGAGATAACCAGAAATCACCTACAAAGGTAACTGAAATGAGAGAAATAAGGATCACACCAAAAAGCCACACAGATAATTTTTATTCTTTACAAATATTTATTTTAATGGTTAAAAAGTATCCAGGCCAAAATATTCAATGGATTAAAGTCAATGGTAGTTGTCATTAATATTCTGAAATTGATAAGTTGTTTATGTCTGGCATTCTTCAAAAAAAAGCAGTGAGACGCTTTATAAATATCTCATCACTCCATCGTCACACAAATTTCATCGACAGTGCTCATGCACAGCTATTAGCAATATGAATCTAACCATTACAAGAGGAATGAAAATTGAACATGTGGCATTAATACGCAGTCCTGGTTCCTAACCATCTGATAGGCAGATGGTGTAAAGCGGATTCTCCAGCTGAAATGAAGGGGCACATCATTTTATAAATATCTCATCACTCCATCGTCACACAAATTTCATCGACAGTGCTCATGCACAGCTATTAGCAATATGAATCTAACCATTACAAGAGGAATGAAAATTGAACATGTGGCATTAATACGCAGTCCTGGTTCCTAACCATCTGATAGGCAGATGGTGTAAAGCGGATTCTCCAGCTGAAATGAAGGGGCACATCATTTAAAACCTTGTTTGCATTCTAACTGATATCAGTGCCATATTGATATACATGATACATCATGGCAGTATTTGAACAATCTAGTTTGTTTCAGTCATAAATGTTTACAGCCTTGTTTTTTATCTTTAGAAGCATGTTCTGAAGAGCGTATTTTTAATTTATGAAACCTATTGTTTACTTCTGTTGAACCAGAAGATTAGCAAAGAGCAGGAATATTAAATTACCACAACCACAGCAGTATAACTAAGATGGATGAATAAAGTATGGTTTTTCAATAAAAGATGTTAGTAAAGGAATTAAAAAATTAGCCTAGACATTTTATGCATTAAATACATTTATTCATTTAAACCTTACAGCTTTTTTCCCATGTGACATACTTAGAACTCTAATGCTTTATAAAGCCATTCATTTAAATCTCTTACTGCGTGCAATTAATCTTGTCCAACAATTTAATTCAAAAAGCAAAACATCAGAAAGTAAAGTTCGATTCAACCATCATGCTTCTGAAGTAATCTCCGTATTGCTGACAGTTCCTATAGACTCATCAGCAAAAGTCTGTTCAAGGTGTCTTGCAGGAGCAGTATGAATTTGAATTACAACTCAATTGAACGCTCGCCAAGCCTTAGTGGGAACCCAGGAATAAGAAGCAGAACACCAAAAGAGAGCGCGAAGGATCCTTTCCTACTAGGACCTTCTCTATTCTGTCACTAGATTACTTTGGCCTGTTGGGTGTGTTTGTAGCTGTTAATTATGTTAATAAAGTTGCAGCCTGCTGTCTCTGCCAAATATAATCATAAGCTTTCTCCTGCCAAGTCCTAGTCTAATTTACACCCGTGCAACTCTACTGAAGTCAGGATTTGTGGGTGAGAATGAGACCAGAAGTATGCCCAGTATGTGTGGTCTCTAATGCTGAAAAATGAGTGAATGAAACAGAAAACAATGACAAAAAACCACAGCATCTTCAGAAAACAATTCTGTTTTAAAAGCAAAGCGCCTGAGAGAGCTGTCATATATCATGACAGATTTTCAAAATGTGTACGAATTACTGGTGGGCACTAAATCACATCCAGGGTTTCTGCCTTCCAACAAACACTATTCCCTGCTTGTCTTAAGAGAGAGCTCTTAAAACCTTCAGTTTTTATGGCATGAACAGCTTACAACACACCTTATTTGTGAAGAAAAATAGAAACCTACAAGTGTAACTTTTTCAGCCTTGAATAATGTCTCAAAATACACATTTTTTAATTGTATGCCTAAGCT